GGCCTCTGGGAATGCCGCTCATGCTCCCTGTACATAGAATTGCTTCAGGCCCTGCTGCTCCCAACACAAGCCCTCTTCTAGCCTAACCATTTCTTTAACCATCCTTTACTGAGGCAGGCGCGTTCATATATCTGTTATGAATAACTTTAAAAACATTTACAGATACATGGATTAAATAATTAGGTATAAGGACTCTTAACAAGCTTTTGGATTTCTAATTGGTGCTTCAGCAAAAGAAAAATAGCCAACTGATTGTAATACTGCCTGATAGAATATACACAATGAAACAAATCTCTTTTATCTAAAAGTTAAAATGGCTCTAAACCTGCCTCAGTAAGCACAGATAGTGTGGATAAACATTTGTTGCCTCTTTTTCTCTCTTTTTCTTTTTTTTTCTTTTTGGACAGATTAGCTGCTTAGGTCCTTCATCTTGTTGAAAAGTCATATATTGAGGTTAAATATGAACTGGTGAAAGATTRTAGCTGATTGCACGTTTATAATCACCTCTCAATTATAACAGAAAAAAGACMATTTTAAAATAAGGCAAAGAAATGCCTATATGCCTGCACATTTCTGTATAACAGTGAAACATCATACTTACCTTATGGCTCAGTTATAGATGCAGTATATGTCTTAGCAGTGCATGTTTTATATGAAATTAAACAAGGTTGCAGAGATAGAAAGCTATGGAAACTTCAACACAGTCATGTAATTATTGTTTGTCACCGAATAACAGTCGTGTAATTATTGTTTGTCAGTGTACAAATATCAGGGCTACTGCGTTCCAGTGCTTAATCCCCCATAAATTTGCCTCAGACTTTCCGTGTTCGTTAACAGAACAGAGACTAGGGTGCTGTTGAAAGAACCCCTAGAAAACTTCTGGGGAACCTTTGAGTCTTACACCACAGTAAACTTCACCCTGTGAAAACTTTATGTGAAGTTACTAGTAGAAATTATGTCCTGTAGGAGTAAACTTTCTGCTAGGAAAAATAAAGTCAAACATGTAGTATTTTATAATCTTAATTTGTTTGAGTAATTGTGAACTTGAAAGAGAAAATAGAGGGAAATATTTGGAACATGCAGTGCAAGTTACAATTCTAATTTGGGGATAAATAGTGGTATAGCTATGTTGTATTAAGTGGAGTATTGCATCTGTGTTTGCATGTTTATGATTGAATTTGCAGCATGGTAGGTGATTGGAATAAGTAGCTCCTACTTGTGTTAAGAACTTGACTTAATCATAAACTTTTAAATTATGGACTCACTCTTTCCCTTTTCATTATTTAAGGGAAGGTTTTAGGTTTTCATCTCAAGAAGCTGCTTCGAGTTTTGGTGACGATCGCTTGCTGATAGAGAAGTTCATTGATAACCCTCGTCACATAGAAATCCAGGTTTGTATTATTATTCCTTAATTGATAAAAGTTGAACTGATGAAACTACTGAGCTTCAAAARAAGTGGACGTGGCCAGCTGTAGGGAAGATGGTGAGTCTTAAGTGTTGCTGTTAATGCCTATATATTACATCCCAAGGAGATTCTCCTTTAGCAGAGCTCCTCTAGAGCTCAGTCAGATCTGTTTTCATGGAACGTTTGAGTGAGGCTGGCCAATGCAGTGACAGCTCCTATGTTTATTTGGATGCTTTTAGCTTAATGTGTATGAATGTGTGAATGGGACATCTTATAATACAGCTCCTCTTCTGCTTGCTCTTCTGAGAGGATAGGATAAGTTGTCTCTCTCTTTTACTGAATCTTGAAAGAATCCCAACTTCTTGATCTTTGGGGTAAGTGACAGAGAAGTCAAAGAAGTTCACTTTAGCAAACACAGTATTTCAGGCAGTTTTACTGGGTCGTCTTCTAAGAGCTTCCATCAAACTTAAAATTTTAAAACAAAACCTGTGGTTCAGTTATACAGGTGCATCAAAGATAGATAGATAGATAAATAAATAAATAAATAAATAAGAGAAATAGTGTATTTTTGTCCAATGCAGTTATTAAATTTTCTTTAATTTCACTTAGGCTTTCAATGAAGATCAAGGCACAACCACATGTTCATTTGTTACCAACAAGTAAAAACAGATTTTCTAATACTGTGCATTGTAGTACAATAGTAAATGGCGTTTATTAGAGATGTGATTTCTAAAGATAATACATGAGCAGTTTTCTTGTGTGGCCTTTAGGGTTTTTTTTTTTTTTCTGAAGAAGAGTTTGATTTTTTTTTTAATCTCCCCCAATATTTTTTATTTTGTTTTCTATTTTAGTGGAGAACAAAAAAAATGCTTTTAGTTAAGTATATTTTAGGAGACTGTGGTCGCCCTCCACCCGTAGCCCCTTACTCTGTGCATTTTGTTGAATGGTAGGGAATAATCAGCTCGAATGCGAGGCTAAAAACGGGCCTAGCTTTTTTTTTTTTCCTGTGTGCTGGGCTATTGCTCAAACTACATGGCTATCATACACAGTACAGCCTTCCTGTTTTTATTCCCTAGCCCTTTTAATTTTTTTTTAACAGGAAGAGAATGACCCATGCTCAGTTCATTGAAAAACGTGCTTGTGTAGACATCTGTGCTGAGGGCTCCGTCGTGAACTGTGGAGCCGAACTCCATGGAGCTCTGATTCCAGGGCCATAAGCACAGGGGAAATAGGATTTCAAGCCCTGTTGCACTTCATATTTTTTTCTTCTTGCAAATTTTTCTTGCAAATTCTAGCTGGCATATAGATACTTTGGATTCTTTTTGAAAGAATCTAATGAGCCTTGTGAACTAAAGTTTTGTGTCCTATTTTGGGCAGTTTATGATCAGAAATTATGCCTGGTCTCATCATTTAAATTTTTTATGGTATCTAGCATTAAAGCTATACCATTTTTCAGACAACTTTTCTAATAAARTTGTGACAAAAAAATAGATATACTTGATCTTACATAGGGCAACTGAAACCTCTGCCAACAGCCTTGAATTAATCTTTTCTGACAAGAAATCCATAAGGAATATGTCAGTTTTCTCAACAGAAATTTAACTTATTTTTCTGGTCTGAGATATAAACTCTTTCTAACTTGTGATATATTTTCTTTTACAGTGGGAGCCTGAAGTAGTTTGACAGTAGCTCGATAACTTAATGAAATAACAACAGCAAAGAATTTGATACTGTGGAATGATCTTTGAGAGAGAAATATTTAATCTCTTTTATTCTGCCAGATATGTGGCCACTCATACCTGATATACTTTTTATTTATTTTAAATTGCCATTTAACATTAGCCTGTTCTCAGATTAATTTACAGCAGATGTGAAATAAAGAAGCAGTCAGTAAAAATGAAATTTAAACTTCAAGGGATTCTCACCTTGGGAGAATGAGGGAAAGATATATAGTAAACACTTMATTTCAGTGTTCATCTTAGATTAAAAAAGACTTCAGTTTACTAGAGCTTGTTCCTATATTTTTCTTACATGACTAATAATTTTGGGGATACCTGCATCTTTTATTTATTATCTCTCTCTTTTTTTAATAGCTTTGTACATCTTCATGATGTATTCATCAGTCTTCTGATGCTTGCAGTTTTGGATTAACCACACTGCATTGTRCATAAAATTCAGTCCAGCAGTAGAAGAGGAGTCTACTCTAGGGGACTGAAAATAAATTTGGATGTTTATTTTAATTTTTGAGATCTGACTTCAGGGAACTGTTTTGAAAGTCATTAGAACTGAAGCAAGCACATTTATGTGCCCCAGGGCTGTGTCTTACAAAGATGGACTGAAAAATATGCTTTAACTTGGTGTATTTGATTAGCTCCAAAGTTAATTTTTTGTTCTAACTTAGTTTTCTAAGTTCCTTCTCTGGTSAGTGGAAAGAGAGAGGCACCTGGAAGATTTGGGAGAAGTCACTTTTTGAAGGTCCTTTTTCGTTTGAGTTTAAAGATGCAGTTTAGGCAATTTCTGTAGGCTTATTGAGTCTCTGATGCCTGAAGTAAGGCAAGATTAATTTTTCCATAATTCTGTGATTTGGAGCCAGATTTTGTGTTGTTTTGATTCCTTTAGGTTTTTWAAAAAAAGTTACCTCAAAAAAATCAAGCACTACTTTAATAAAAATCAACTCTTTCACCTAGTGTAAATAATATAATCTTGTCATTAAGAGTTTAGGATTTTATTTATACAAAGCATACAATGAGCCTTGTTTTCCTTCCACAAGTACTTTGATGGCACCTTTTAACAATATTGCAGCCTGTAATTTTAACTTCACGTTCTAATCAACTTTCGGACGGTGACCTTGGTTCATTTTCAAACCACTACATATACAAACAATTTGAGACCAGATGCCAAATATTTATTAATTTAGCAGCAACTTTTAAATAGAACTTTTTTAATGTTCTCATATAGCTCCAAAGGATCGGTACTTGAAATTGTTAACTAAGGGGTTTCCTGTGTCTAGCTATAAAACAATCACTTTGTAGAACATAAGAAAAGACTAAAACAATTAACAGGAAAAAAGAGTCCAAATAGAGCTTATGCTGGAACTGATTTGAAGTCTTGTTCTCCTGAAATATCTGACATAAAGGATCTGAGTTTAAAGCAGAAGTAAAAGGAATGTCTAAATATTACTCGGCTAAATAGGAATTCTACAAGTGGAAATAACATTTAGCTGAATCAGGAGAGGATGTGATACCTTACATTTATTTAGTGTATGGCTAAATGTAGTAGTATATACTGATATTGTAGCCATCTCATCTTACAATCCATAAACAGGACATTTTCTTTTAGCAACATTTAGATGTTTACAAAAGTATTGTGGCTGCGATGTGTATTTTAGTGAGATGTGCATAGGCATTTTATTTCATCCCAGAGGCCATCAGAGAGCATGATTTCAACAGTCTGTAAATGCATTTTGTTGTGTAATTATTTTAAGAAATAAGTCCCTCCTTTAATTTCTGATGGCATAAACAATGCACCTGAGATGAGTTTAAAGCCTGACACTAGGTGTGACATGAGTGGTTCTGTTTACCACTGCATCTTTATTGTCAGGATTCATGTGTATCTGTTCATATTTATTGACAGTGGAAAAGTGTTTCCTTTAAGATACAGATTGCAGAAGTTAAGAATGATAGATGGAATATCCCTGAAATGGACAATACTGTCTGTAAGTTGGCTTGAAAAATATTTATTATTCCCTCCAGTAAAATACTCATATATAGACAAAGACACACACAAGAGAGAGAAGAGCAGTAATTTATGAAGATATTCTGGGACTTTTCTAGTTTGTTTTAGTGAGACTGACACTGGTGCGCAGCTGTAGATTTCGGGRGGTGTCTGAAGCAGAAGTGGTCTCCAGGAGTCCTTTTACCTTCAGGACAGAGGTTCCATCTGAGTAGCACCTCCTGGAACCACTGTGCACTGTTCAATAGATCAGCCCTCCATCTTCTCCAAAGAAGTTTCTGCAGAACTCCATGTCAGTTAGTGCTGGATGGGACGAACAGGATTAGGGTAGGAAGTTGCTTTGGGCTCTTCTRGAGTTTCTCATGCCTTGCACTGACACCATCTCGCTGGGGCTGGAGCTCTTTGGCTCTCCCTGTCACTCAGCACCCACCTAGGTAAGGGAGAAGGTGCTGGGACAAGTATAGCTTTGAAACCACTTCCCCCAAATTGTTCCTTTTGCAGAACTCTTCGGAGAGGCTTTTTCCTCTTGAATGTTCAATAARTTTATGGGAGCTCAAAGAATTTCTGAGGAAAAATCTGTGTTCAATATAGCACAGTACACATGAGTTTTCTTCATGAGATCAGTGTCTGTCACGTCTACACGGATTTATTTACACATTATCAACCGTTGGGGTTGTGTGTACAGGAGCTGACTTGCTTAGTGCTAGGCTCGCTTTGTTGTGCTAAAATAAATTCTATAGATTCTGTGTCATGAATGCATACACATACGGTTGAGTTCATACACGTTGTGGAAGGTTATCTTCAGAGTAGGGCTGCACTTTGGGAGAATGAAGTTATGAATATTGGCACAGGGTCCTGTAGATCGGAGCAGGGAGACAGGTGGAAGAAAATAATTAGGGAAAAACTGTAAGGAAGAAAGGAGCAGGTATGGTCCACAAAGAAAGGTTTTTTTTCCAAGGAATTAGCAAGTGTATAGAGCATAAGATTGAGAGATTCCAGCTACTAGAAGCACCTCTGCCGTCTGATCCATTCCGTAAGGTGAAAAAGCTCCTTTTCTGAAGTTGCAGTGTTAACAATTTAGAGCTCTGAGATGTTCAACACGTGTGTGTGTGTTTTTCCTAACGTGCAATTTAGGTAGTTAAACCAGATCTCAATGCTTGATTGTGCTTAACTCTTTAGTGACTGAAATTCCAGCAAAGAACCATCATCGCCACGTGGTTGCTAAGAAAGTCCTTCAAACTGTTACTTTAATATCCACTGGAAGTGTTGGAGGAGTGGCAAATTTTGTTTCCTTGACAAAAGATTGCAAAATTTCTGAAGAATTTCCCTTTCTGTTTGAGTCCAGGGTGTTGTGGTTAGCTAAGAGCTCTACCAGCCRTTGTTTCTGAAAGCTTTTGTCTGTTGTTAAGAAACTACATTTGACATCCAAGATTTGCTGTCCTGTGTTGAGATAATATCCTGCTTAAAAAGCTTTTCTGAGTGCTTTATTCTGCAATCCAATTTTTAAAGCTTGAAAATGTCATTTTTATCATGCCTCAGTCTTTCTAATTTCTTTCACTTTCTCCCAAACTTTGAAGTTTTCCTTTTTCTGTGTTCAACGTAGACTGTTTCTGGAGATTTTAAAAATAATTATCTTCAGAATTTTAAGTACTCAAAGTATTTAAGCATTCAAATAATATTGCCACTATATCTGATTTTACAGAATGGCAATTTTCTCCCAGACTTCACTTTTAGTTTGGGGGGARAAAAATGAAAAACAAATGCTTTTTTTTCTTTTTACTTTTTTTAAAAAAAATTAATTACCCGTGTAAAGCATCTAGCTGGCAGCAGTCAAAAGGCTTTATGCCCACACTGGGCACATTAATAGCAGTGTGTTATTGTTCCAGGTTTTAGCAGATAAGCATGGCAACGCTTTGTGGTTAAATGAAAGAGAATGCTCCATTCAACGAAGAAATCAGAAAGTAGTGGAGGAAGCACCAAGGTCGGTATCCTGAGCTCTGAGCGGGGGTGAGACAGCACTTTTGGAAAGCTACTGATTTTATTGTTGTACAAAATGCAAACACCATTTATTCTGTTTAAAAAATATAAAAGTGGTAGTATGTTACTGTCATTTGACTATAAAGTGAGTTTGATGTTGCACTTAGGGTGCTAGTTCAGTGTTTCTTTGAGATGTTTCCGGAAAAAGAAAACTGGTTTTGAGTTGTTAATTTTTTTCATGATCTTGTGTAAAAGAGATATGAGTCTTACCAGTCAAATATATGGAGTATTTGAGCTGACTTGCCTAACATGCCCAAGATATTTTTCTTTGGCCTTCAGCTTCTGGGTTTAAGAATCAAGTAAAATATGGAACTGATATTCAGGTTAACGTTGTTGAAGTTACTTGCCTGTGTTATGCCAGTTGTGGGGGGCTAGATCACTTGGATGTAGATAGAGGATTAAATGGATTGCRAAGTACTGAGTATTCTACACCTCTTTTAGTGATAACCAGGTTAGTGACCTATGGATGTAGGTATCCAATAACTCCAAAGCAGGAAATGGTCATAATCCGTGGATTTTGAACAGAGATGAAGTGCATCAATAGTGTGCAAGATGCAGTCTTGCTGTCCTGTCCATTGCATGCACTTTGCGAGAAAATACACATAGAGAAAAGGAACAGGGGAAATGATGATTTAGAAAGCCAGGCATAGATCTGTGACTGGCTGTAGGATTTCCTGTTGTTGTTGTTAATATGTTCGCCACTTGGGATGGCTCTACCGTTGTTCTATAGCACAGAACTATGTGAGTTTGTCTGTGCACTTATTTATATTTCTTTATAAAGCCTCCTCAAGAGTATTGCAGGTAAGGAGGGTGTTCCTTTACTACTTCTGTAAGGTAAGATCAAGATCAGAAACCTGAAGTTGCCCTTCCTGTTAATAGTGCTTCACTTGGCGATACTGATTATAGCTCTTGTCCCCTGCTAGGAGGTTTCCCTCTGGACTTTATTTTACCTTATTTATTTTTGTGGCAGTTGCTACCGAGAGCTCTCAGCTACTGTTGATGTATCTGTCTTTATTTTTTTTTTAATCTTTTTGGGTTTTTTTCTTGTCTTTTTTTTTTTTTCTTGGTTTATTGGCAGGGAGTCCAAGGAATAGGCATGCTGTGGGTAAAAATGCATATTCATTTTCTTCACAGTTTAGGATTGTAGTCTCCTGCATCTCCTCAGGACTTTTTGCCTATAATGTTTTATTTCTTTTCCCTTCAAAGTATCAAGTGATTATAGAAGTCTGATTATTGAGGGTCATCTGCCTTTGAGAATAACACTTGCAGTTTTGTTAAAGCCATGTTCCACTGTTGGGCCCCACCTTAATAGGACCCTCTTGTGTTTGAATCTCTGGTTTTCCTAAGGAAGTTCTAGTTGTCTTTTGTGAGAAAAATCTCTCCTTTGAGGGGAGATCTCTTCAGCACCCTGATGAGGATGCTGCATTCAAGGGAGTCCTGGAGTTGCACGGTGGGTGAATCCCTGAGCTTCCAGCAGGGGCCCAGCTAACGYTGCTGCTTCCCTGCAAAGAGCAGGRGTCCTGCTCCGTCTCTGCTGGGACGTGCAGGCAGCGGGCTTGGGGTGAGTGCTCTTCTGGCTGGCGCTGGGCCTCGCTGCGTCGGCAGCCAGCCAAAACTGCTGGCCTTTGGTGATAATTTTACCCCAGCTTTGTACCTCTTTGGGAGAAGCTCTTGGCTTTTCGCTTACCACTGAGGTTGAAACTTGATGAGCTGGATTTTATAGTTTACTGATCTTCCATGGTTCTTTTCCTCCTGCGCTGCTTAAACTTTTCTGGACTCCTGCTCAGAGATGGTTGCTATGAGAGTGTGAACTCTGGCAAGAGTTGAATTCTTCAGTGGATCTCAGGGGAACCACTGAAGGTCCTTCATCTCGGGAGAAAGCAGTGTAAGAGAGAGCAGCTTTCTCTGGTACCCAGAAGACAAGGGAGGCTTGAGACTCATCCTGCGATAAAAATAGTTGAGTGCATTTATTTGGAAGGTCAAATTCGGCATGCCATGCCTTGCGTGGTTTTTGCTTCAGAGTGAATTTATTTGTGCACATCCTAACCTAAAAGGGACCTACTATTTTATTGGACTGGGAGAACTTTAACCTTGCCCAAAGTCAGAATTGGCTTTCATATTCCTACCTGCTGGTGTGTCTGCTGTGATCTTAGCAAAGATGTTGAGCACTGCAGTGCCAATATCATGTATTTCTTTGTCTTGTAGGGTGATGGATAAGGGATTCTTCTCCATGTAGAGCGACAGACTCCACAAAGTCACTAATCCTTTAAGACCAAATGTAAATTTGTGGTTCTTAGTTAACTTCATAATCAGTAACTGCATGATGAAATGGACTATTAGTTGAGAGAAGTATTGTTAATTTTCACTTTGAGAGCAAGCCTCCTATGCATCCCTTTCAGGACCTGTTAAAAGCTCTTTAAAGCACTTGAGCTTTTGCCTCAGCGCTAGGGTAATGGACTGTCCACCGTTCGGAGGCACTTGGCTGGTTGTGCCATTTGATGCCCAAAGTTAGATTTTATGCATGTTTCCCAGTTTTGYGTTCAGACTGTCCGTGCATTCAGCTACTGAACGTGTTGCCACCTTTCCCCAAAGGGTCTGGGATATTTCTTGCAGGGGAGCACTATGCAAAGGCAACGAAGGAGGAACCAGCCACGCACTGTGACCATGCAGCCCTTCCTTTGCTTTAGCCATCAAAGAGATCAAGCGTTTGATCCCCCGTGGGACACCGTGTTGATATCACTTCTCAAAGTGCTGGGCTTCAGGACACCGTTAAACCTTCTGCCTGGATTTCAGGCCTTTTGGGTGYGAGTAGGGCTGGAAGAGCAGCTGCCATCGCCTTCTGTGCCAGCATGCACGAGCTGTGCCCATCCACGGTGAGCRAGGCATTTGGTAGCTGCCCGTGTACTCTTCATCCCTGCCTGCTTTCCAGAAGTTTTAGGTGATGCCACATGCTCTCAGTAAAACCTTAGCACACAATATTCTTTCTGAATACAGTCATTGTTAGGACACACTCTCTGAACCTTTTTCCAGAGTTTTGCTAGGTTCCATCTGAGCCAGGAGACAAATTTCTTAGTGAGCTTTTTTCCTTATTTTTTTTCCTCCCTAGCTACATGCATTCCCAGTTGATCTACCTTATCTATTCTAGGCATTAGTTTTGCAGTGTCTTTTTGAATTGAATCATATCCTTTAAATTTCAGTTCAAAGGACATTTTTGTTCCTGCCTGTGACAGAAAGATCTAAAAGTTAAGGGTTTGAAAAGGGAGGCTCTTTCCCCAGGAAGCGACCACACTAGAATGTACATTAAATGGTTAAACTAGTTTTGTGAACTTTTTGGCATGCACCATTTCCAGCTCTTTGGGAATGTTTCTGTCCTTGGAAGCTGCATAGACTGGGGCTACTTTTACCTGGTTTAAATTCCTCCAGGTTCTGAGCTGTGCTGTGTGTATGTGTATCCAGAACTTAGATTTCCTATGGCACTCTTCAGGAATCCTTGAAGGATTCTGGGTTTAGAGAAACAGTAAGCCTGTGTCTTCGTGCGTGATTTGTAGCCGATTGAGACATTGGGGCAAAACTCCCTGTGTTCTGAAATGCTCTAAGATATTTATGCCTGCAGTACATGTACATGTAGACAGGTCCAGAAGAGAGCAGTTATTGCAGATGAGTGTTTTTTTAAAAGCAAATTGCATACCCAAATCGTAGTGTCTTCAGAGGAAGGGTAAATGTTATCAGTGAATTATCTTTCTTTTTCTTTTTTTGTGCAAGTGGGGAATAGATTTTCACTGACAGCGTAGCGCTCTGTGCTTTCAAAATACTCAGCCTGACCTCTGAGTGAAGGAGATGAAGGTATTTTGGGAAATATTTTCTGACGAACYGGGGGTAGAGAGGTAACATCTTGCCCGTGTGGTCATCTCCCTGGATATAGAAACAATGGAACAAGCCAGTTGCATTGTCTTTGATCAGCTTTACAATAGCTTGGAGAAGGTCTTAAAAATGAAATGCCAGGTCTGATCTTATTTTTCCTTTCTGGTGCTTTTATCTTGTGAATCCCTTTTATTTTGCAGCCTTCATGTTGCCGCAGGAGCTATTTGGTCGAAAGAATAACAGGTATACGTGGGGAAAAAAGGAGGTGAAGTCAGGTTTAAAATACTGCGTTTTCAAGCCATGCCTAATTAGGCTGGAGAAGAGTTGTTTCAGCTGTAAAAAGTGAGTGGCTAAAGAAGGTAGAAACAATGTGTACGAAAGCCAAAGCAGCAGAGGGGAACGGGGAAGCTTCAGTTAATTAACCTAGCTGATTGCAGGAATAATCTGGGCATTGGAGAACATAAAGCTTAGCTGCATGGCCGAGATCAGGTTTAGCAGTGTGACACCTCAGTTCCATTCTCTGTCTGCAGCAGGAGGTAACGGAGACATCTCAGACCTACATTTGACAAACATAGGAAGACGCCGCCCTAATAGAGGGGAGTAATGCGTTTCATCCGTCGGAGACTTAATAATGGTTATTCTTAGAGTACGAAGCCAGTATTGAAAAGGTTCTGTTCTTCATAAGCCACTTGTGTTGAACTGGCATGACCAAAACCCCACAGAAACCCTGAAGTGAATTTTAAGTTGGTAATTTTGTGTAAGGAGTTACCATAAGAAGTATGAATCTTTTAGCCTATTTTTGACAGATATGAGAGGTATGATACAAATTTGCACAGCTGTTGTTCTCCCTTTGATCTCACATAGGATCTGCTGGGAGTTTTCTTGAGGTCTTAAGACTTGATTTCCTTTTCGCATTGGTCCTATTCTTTGCCAGGAAAGAAGATTTTTCTAAAATTCTAGAAATGGCTGCTTTGCTGTCCCTCAGAACCCCCTGCGCTGCTACTGGAAGGACTGAGGCTCTAAGCAGCACTTTGGCCTTGAAGAAGAGGATTGTACCATCTCTAAGCCTGTCTGAACATTTCTGTGTGGTGTCAAATATGGCTTGTTCTGCTGGCAGAAGTCTCTGACTCTCCTGAGAGTATTTGTCTTGGTGAAGGCATTCAGAGGAAGAGCTGAAAGTGAAGTCCTCACTCAGCAGTGCTATCTGAGTAGCTTCTTGGGCTCAGATGATGCTTCCCAGAGCCTCATTTGCCACTTGAAAAAAATGGAGGCTCCCGATGGATTTTCTGCGGAGTTAGGGCCCATTTCTGAAGACACCCAAAAATAAAAAATTGGTGTGGTGGTCTTTTCACTTTAAGTAGGGGATAAGGTAGAAGGGATTTCCAGTTCCCTTACAAAAGTGCTTCTTAGGGTAATAGCTGAGTTGTGCTCCTCACTTAAGTTGCCACAGAAATGTAATGGACATCTATATACTTATATATGATAAACTACTAAATATTTTTTGTCTTAAGTCAGTGTATCAGGATGAAGATAAAACTGTTCCACAGCATAAGTGGGAAACCACTGAAGTTTCCCTAGCTCTAAATTAGCTATCAGTATAGGTTGAACTAAATCTGACTTTGCGGGACAGAAGAGCAGCAGCAGCAGCGTGTGCATCAGCCTGCGTCTTTCAGGTCCCCGGGCTGGTGGAGCGGGGTACTGCCCTCCTGGAACGGGCCATGGTCGCGGTGTCTCCCCAACTCWTAGCTTAGGGGGCCCTAGGGTGGCACCCACGGTGTGTGGAGTGCAAGGAATTGCAATTACAAACAGATAAGTGGGTGGATTTCGTTTACAGGTAAATCTGAATGAGAAAACGCCAGRTATGAAACCGTGGTGCTGTTGTTTTTAGTTAAATATTAATGAATATACAGATTTTTTTMATTATTTTCATTACTTGCATAAGAAACCAAATTAATAATTTGTGAACTTTCAGAGTTGTGATGTTGCAGTCTGCACCACTGAAATGACCGTGCTGCTTTGCTGCTTTAGTTCGTTGTCAGAACGGCTTCCTCCCCTGCCCCCTGAATTCCTCTCCTCTCTTTTGGCGTTCCAGTTTTCAATAGGAGGTTTCCTTTTTCACAGTTTCATCATGGCTCTTCACATTTTAGTTACAATCAAGAAAAGCAGATATGCCTTCCAATGAGGCCTGGATTTTGTATATCCATATATACTTCTTTTTATTCAACTTACATTTTCAAAGATTTGAGTGTTGTAAAAAGAAAGGTTTTTTTTAAGAATGTTATTTATTCCTAGTGTTCTGTACTTCAGCTGTGATTGAAGATTGCAGTGTATTAGATTTCAAATGATCSTAAAATGAAATAATATTTTTCTTCTAAAGCTAATCTTAAAACATGAGAAGTTAGAAGATTTAGCGATATTTTTGTGCCAATGCAAATGCAGTAGAAGACACTTGACAGACTTGACATGATGTCTTCATAATTTCATGTCGTTCTTTTCTTTCGCTTTAGTTTTAGCAGAAGATTCAATCATTTAGTTGTATTGTTTGACTAAAGAAAGGCATCGTTTCTGTATTGCAGCACTTTTCTAGACCCTGAAACTCGAAGAGCAATGGGAGAACAAGCAGTAGCTCTCGCCAAAGCAGTAAAATATTCCTCTGCTGGAACAGTAGAATTCCTTGTGGACTCCAGTAAGAACTTCTACTTCTTGGAAATGAATACTAGACTTCAGGTAAGAAAAACAGCTCTTCAGGTTCAGAGAAGTGTTATTTAAAAAAACAAAGCATACCCGCTTCCCGTGCTTGGGCTCCGCCGCTGCAGAGGCTGCGTAGTCACTCCCCAGACGCGTGCGAGCGCTTCCCGCTGCAGGGAGAAGGGCGGCCGCTAAAGTAGCCCTGTGTGGGGGCACTGCGAGCCCTGAGCCCGTCGCAGCGCTCGAGTGAGTGCTCRGAGCTTTTGCTCCTGTTGCACTTGACCTGAGCACCTTGCAGGAGGTCACCCTTAAGTACCACTGGGAGTTGGCAATAAGTGGCTGGCCACTCGGCTTTGATGCTTTTCAGAAGTTTGCTTTTTATGTCTTAGGCCTGGGTAGTAGGTTCCTGAGTTTCTTTAGATGGAGGGTTAAAACTGCATGTGTCTATCAGAAATGTTAATATGGGTGTCGWCATGGCATAGGGCTTTTCTATGCCTGTGTCACTACGGTAGTGCCTATCTGGTCAAAACTGAAGAAAATGGTCACATAACTTGAAGTTTGTGTGTCATTCTCAAAGACCAGCAGCCTAACTTACGATTAAGTAATACCATAGTCTTTATCCTTCTTCTCTGGCTTCAGATTGTAACAGAAAGATTGGAATGTGGAATCAAGTAGTAGAATGATGGGCCCTTCATTCTGTTTTAGCTACATTTTTTTGAGGATTGTCTTCTGTCTGCTGCTTATAGGCAGTGTCAGAGAAAGCATGAATATCCCCCTGTAGTCCCAGCATCTTTGTGTGTACTGTAAGGACTGGGGGCAATGATGCAGTCACCCAAGTGTGCGGGAGCAGGCACACAGACACAGGCACACAAACAGAATCACAGGATGGTTGAGGTTGGAAGGGACCTCCAGAGACCATCCAGTCCAACCCCCTGCTCCAGCAGGGACACCCAGAGCACGGGGCACAGGGCGGCATCCAAGAGGGTTGGGAAGATCTCCAGAGAAGGAGACTCCACAGGCTCCCTGGGCAGCCTGTGCCAGGGCTCTGGCACCCTCACAGGAAAGAAGTTCTTCCAGGCAGCACAAGGCACACAGTGGTCAAATTAAGGCTTTTCTTACCCTGCTTCTGCATGGGGACTCCCCAGTTTCCTCTCGGGAGGAAGAGAACGATGGGGGAGGTTCCAGGCAGTGCTGAGCACTGGTCCATGGTGAGGGGCGAAGGGCAGCCTGTGCTCTTAGGCAGCTACCAGCAGTATACAGCTACCGAGCGCGTCATCGCCCCGTGTTACAATTCCATCGGTGCTAATAGCAGGTAAACAGCACGTAAGCATCATGCGGTCCAGTGTACGCTCACGAGCGGAGTCCGTGTACGTGGCATGGCCATAAGTTGAGCATGGAGTATAGTTCAGCTAGGTCCGCGTGCCCGGAGCTGTGTGGCCAGGTCCCGTCGCCCGTCTCTTCCGTATTCTTCCGCATCCTGTCGTCTGCATGTACTGGGCTTGCATGTGGCTTTGGAGGTGGTAACTAGCAGGGTAGCCAGGGGCAGTGGTGGGTCTAGTCCTGGTCAACCTGTTCATTGGTGACCCGGGTGAAGGCATCGAGTGCACCCTCAGCAAGACGATGATGATGATGGAGAACTGGCAGGAGTGGCTGATGGGCTGCCATCAAGGCACCTGGACAGGCTGGAGAGAGGGGCAGAGACGAAAAAAGTTCAACAAAGGCCAGTGCAGAGGGCATGGGGAGGAGTAACCCATGTAAGGCTACAGGCTAGGGGCCTCCCTGCTGGAAAGGGGCTCGCCTGAGAAGGACCTAGGGATAGAAAAGTTGACCGTGACCTGTCAGTGTGCCCTCGTGGTCAAGRAGGCCAMTGGGRTCCTGGCTGCATGAGGAGCAGTGTTGGCAGCAGGTGGAGGGAGGGGATCCTGCCCCTCTCCTCAGCTCTGGTGAGGCCGCACCTGGAGTATTGGGGGCAGTGCTGGGCTCCCCAGTGCTCAATTCTGCATTTGCAGGCACAGTCTAGTTTACCTCGGACTCTGTTAAAAAGGATAATGGCAAATTGCTGCGTATGGGTTATGGAAATRTTATGAAGAAATTTTGCTTCTCTGCTTCTCTCCCAATCCAGTAGTTTTTGAGACAATTTCCAGTGAGCTTCCATGCTATTATTTATGTAGAAGAAAATTACTTTATAGATTGCTTTGTAAGGAGCTGGAAGTTCCARTGTCCTTACTCTTTTCCTCAATACAGTATTTCACTTGCTATCAGCTATTTAGCCTGACCTGCAATTGGCAGTCATGTATCTTCGGAGTCGATTCTCTTTGCGAGTTGTTTTCTGAGATGTTTCTTTGCTGTGCTGTGGTGTCTCTTCACCCTCCTCCTCTTTAATACTTAGTGGTAAGAGGATTTGAAGTCCAAAAACTCGAACTTGCTTAATTGTAGAGGTCTCCACATATRCAGTAAGAAAGCTTTCACCATCCCAACTTTTAAGGACTTTAGAGACTCCTTTTGAAATATAACAGCTTGACAGTCCCCTTTAATAGCAGACTCATTCTTTCTAACTCTTAAAGAAATTTACTAATCTCAAATTACAGTACTTGTGTAGATGTTCTCTAATACCTCCCTCTTGACTATGTATTGCCTCTAATTAGCATTTCAGCTTGAGGCTGGAGGGTAGTAATTTTCTCCAGTTCTTCCCCAGGCTTCCCCAATTGAACTGTCACTTGTCCTAGGTCCCGAGCTTTACCTTCTGTTCGGTTAACAGTTATGCAACTAACATCTAGTTCTTGCTCCCTTCTATTAAGAGCCAAACATAGAAACGTTAATGAAGCTTGTCCAGATTTAACTTCAGAACCAGGGGAGTCTCCAGATGTCCCTGTTTTGCTTCAGCCTTTTCCTCTCGCGTCTCCTGTCTGTGAATGATGGCTAAGCCGCTCACCTGCCCTCTTCTTGAAGAACGCTCAGTGGTTGGAAAACTTTCCTGAGATGCCTGTTGTCCTTAGAGGGTGTCCCTAAGGTCCATCAGTTTGTACTGCAGACACAGCTGTCTATCAGTGTCACCAGGACATGTCTGCTAAACTGAATGGTTCCCTGTGTCTTCATTTAAATGTTCATGAAATCACTAATTGGATCATTGCAGTCTTTGGAGTCTGATACAGACTTCAGAATAAGTGTAAAATCATATCACTTTGCCCAAATCAGCAGAGAAATCTGCTGATTTCTCCCTTCCCTCCTTTAGATGCGTCCGTTTGGGTCTCTTCCAGGATTTCTTGTAAACTATTTTGTAGTTATTGCGAATTGTGTTATTTTTTGGTTATCTTTTTGCTGGGCTCTTTGGGAAGACACTAGCCTCATAGTCCTGACAGCAAGCATAAATAGSCCCTAACAGGAAGGTAATATGTTAGTTTTATTGATAAATGTCACGACATATGAGGCTGGAAAATTAATAAAGTAGGCAAATTGTCACTTGCATGCTACACATCTGTTACAGATGTTTCACTGCAAGCCATTCAGCTAGAATGACTAGCTTTTTAGCTTTTGGCAGCGTATCTTTTGTTGTATGTGCTTTTCTGCCATCTTTCAGAGGTTAGCTGCTAAGTGTGAGGTGATATTGAAAAATTGCATAGCAAAACTCTGGCTTTTTGCAAGTAAATGTCTGCTCTGCAGCCTACAGGTGAATGGCCTGTGTGTTGTCATTTATTGCCCATTTTGAATGTTTTTCAGGTAGTTATCACTTAGAGTTGCTGAGGCTGGCCAGATGTTGAATATCTGATGTTTTATAGCTGCCCACACTGTGATTTTCTTTGTGTTGCCTGGTTGTTAYTGGCTTAGTAAACGGCGGTCATAAACTAAAGCAGCCAAACAAGAGCTTTGAAATAAATAAACGTTACCAAGGCTGATAACCTTTGTAGCTTGTGCATTGTGCTGAAATCTCAGACTAGTGTCAGAAACACTGCCTTTCAGGAGAAAAGCCTCCTTGGCTTTTCATTGAAAGACAAGAAATTCCCCCTTTTGACTTGATATTAAGTGTCTGTGGTCTTTAAGTAAAGAATATCTGCTTGCATAGCGTGTAGGATGTGTCTAAGCTGCTTAAGTGTGAATCAGTTGGTGACAGCAAAGAGAAAGTATCAGATGTTTTAGAAGTTGTTTGTAGTGCCTTGAATTCAGAAGCAGCCCTGGTTGGCTTGAGAAGAAAGGTGTTTTAGCGCTGTGAAGGGAGCAGCTACCCTAAATATAATTAATGTCTTTACATATAATTTATGTCTGATCAACTGTATAGACTATTCAGTGCAGTGGAGTTGAAAAATACAGTACTTTTTGAAAAGCAGTTTTTTTCCTCGGGCAACAGTATGAATATTTTTTCTGTCATAAATGTTGTTTTTAGAGAATAAAAGTTGAGTTTTAGGAATATTTTGTTGGCACGTGAAAGGTTTATTCATAGAAGGAAAATGGCATATCTGTTTCTGGTTTGCAGTTATTACAGTGGGAGAATTTAACTATTTTATGTAAATGTGTTTTCAAGCTGCTTTTTTAAGTAGATCGATGACAGAGCCCTGGAGTTGTACTTCTCCCTGCACATAAACATTGCCAGTATTAAGATTTGTGTTGATCTTTTTGTTTCTACTAGACTTTAGCAGCGCCTGGGCGGTGCTGGGCCCTGAAGCTTGGGTTTTGCACAAAACCGGCGATGCCCAGTGTAAAATGGCGAGGAGGACTTTTTTCCAAGCGATAGCTTTGTCTCTGAATGGCTCCCCGTGCGTCCGTGYGTCCTGTGCTCACGGGAGAGGGAAGAGGAAGGCTGGGAGGTGTCTGGGAGCAGGTCCCGGTCCTGCTGGCTGCCACTCGGAGCRGCCTCTCCCACAGCCCCGCGTCAGGCAGCGCCCCACGCGCCTGCTCCGTGCAGAAGGCCCAAGCGCTGGAAGATCCCGCAGCTGGGCTACCTAGACGGGAGCAGCAAAGCGAGCGGCTCCGCCTGGAGCGCCGGCTAAAGGCGGCGGGAAGCGCCGACCTCCCTCTCCGTGTTGGGAGGTGCGTTTGCGGCCTGC